ACGATGACGACGATCACGACGACGACGACGATAATGATGACGATGGCGATGATGAGGATGATTATGTTGATAATTCAGGTGACGATATTGACGATGATGACGACGATGGCGATGATGACGATGGTGATGATGTTGCTGCTGATGGTGGTGATGGTGACGATTGTGATGATGGTGATGGTCATGGTGATGATGACGATGCCGCTGACGATGACGCCGGATATGATGGTGATTAGGATGGTGATGATGACGATGACGATTATCCTAGCTAGAACTTGAGCGCGCGCGAAGCGCGCGCGATGGTTCTAGTATATATTATATGTATGTATGTATGTATGTATATATATATATAGCTGTGTATGTATACCTTTCCAAGGGCTTGTACATTCATGACCATGTGCACGCACACGCTGGTTTCTGCTCGGAGGGGTGGAACCCGCCGTATGAAGAGGATGAAGATGCTGCTGAGACAGCGCGAGATGCAGAACAAGGCGGCCGAGATGGTGAGCGGAACGTGAGGGGGATGCCGTGGCGGCTTTGCCCGTGCGCCGCTCGCCCGCCTTCGGGACGACCTCCCTTGCCTCATGTGTGCCGTGCGCATCTGCTAGCCGTATCTTTGTAGCCGGCGCGCAGTCGGACAGTGATGCTGATACCAGCCTGTCTTGTGGTCGGCAGTCGGTATCGGGAAACATATAATGGCATAAACATGAACTTTCAGAGTTCCACGCGGATTTCCCAGATCGGCGCTGGATCCCCCTGGCGGCGCCTCCAGCGCCGCCCCTGGCGCGCTCCAGGAGGGTCCAGCGCCGATCCAATACATCCTCGTGGACCCCCAAAAGTTCATGCTCGTGACATTTGTTCCTCGACGGCAGGGCACTCAGACACTTGCAGATCCTAGGCGACCATGGGCGAAACTTCCTCGCCCACTGTAGGTGGGGCTCCGCCGTCTTCTCGCCCTTTTGCGATCCGAGAGGGGCCAGTTGGCAGGGCAGCAGGGAGACGGTCGGCGGCAGCGGCTCCTCTTCCTCCTCTTCGTCCTCCCTCCGCCCTCCTCTCTCCTCCTCTGTCGTCCTCCTCCTCCTCCTCCTCCTCCTCCTCCTCCTCCTCCTCCTCCTCCTCCTCCTCCTCCTCCCTCCTCCTTGGTGAATGCAGGCTTTGCCCAGGCTGACAAGTTCCTCGGAGTCTACCAGAGCTCGCCGTGGGGCACACATATGGCCTTGCAGAATTGGACAGCACACGACCTCGAGCCATTCAAGAATAGAAGCTGGTCGTCTCTCGTGTGGCCGCCAAGCGCGAGGACGTCATTGACTTGAGCTGGGGCGACGCGCTGGAGCAGGCTCGACTGATTCGTGAGGAGCGGCCTGCCCGCTCCAAGTCCAACTTGAACGCTGCTCGGGCAGCTTTGGCCCAGCACGACTCACCAGGATTGCCTCTGCAGCTTGTCCAGGGGCTCAGTGAGCTGGCTCTTGCTTTGGACTTAGTGCGCTCTGGGAAAAAATGGGTTCCCCTGCGCTGATTGGCAACGAGATGTCGGCCGTTGTCAGCAGCCTCGCATCCGTTGGGTGCCGATCGTTCCCAAGAGGTCTGAAGTGCCCCCCCTTTGGGCGACAGGCACGCCCGATTTTGGCCGGCAGTGTCTGCCCAGCTCCTGCATTAACCCGATTGATTGATCCAGCTTGTGACCCCAACAAAACGGCCGTCCCCCTTCAGCAGCATTCTGGCCAGTTCGGGGCTCTGGTGAGAGGGTTGCATGACTTGACTTCCCTGGGGCTCTCGATCCTTGGGACGTTGGGGAGGCGGCCGCGTTGGCGAGGTGGGGTATGTGGCTCACCACTTCATCGCCAAGGACCCTCCTAGCTTTCAACAAATTCTAGACGCTTCGCGTATCCCCACCAGTTGCTACGGACTTCTTGCCACTGGTGGGGATACGGGGTGTTCTTCCCTCCTGGGTCAGGGCTCGAGCACGCCCCCGGCCTGGCGCGGGCTCGCCCGACGCCGATGGAGCCCGCCGCGGCGCGTCGCCGGCGGCTGTGGGCGGCCGCCTGGGCGGCTCGCGTTGCGGTCGCCGCCCGCGCCGGCGCTGGCGCCCGCGGCCAGCCCCACGGCCAGCCCGACTGCCCTTCCCGCGGCCAGCCCCACGGCCAACCCGACTGCCGGCCCCGCGGCCTGCCCGACGGCCAGCCCGACCGCCAGCCCCGCGGCCAGCCCGACTGCCGGCCCGACGGCCAGTCCGACGGCCAGCCCAACGGCCACCCTCGCGGCCAGCCTGGCTTGCGCGGCTGTCCAACAAAGCTGCCCGGCGGCACGACCACGGCGCAGACCCAGCGCACCGACGGGTGGGCTGGCGCCCCGCCTAATTACGCAGGGCGTTTCCCTTGAGACTGACTTTTCGCCCCTCTCCCTGCCCATGATTCCTCAATATGCGACAGCTAGTCGCCCACGCCGGGAAGATTGCGACATGGGGCGCCTCCGCCGAGAAGAGCGCGAAGAGAGTCGCGAATCGCCGAAGGAGGAGCAGGAAGAAGTCAGGGAGGACCTTGTCGACCGTCCAACACAACCCAGTGGCAACGCGACCTCTTGGCACACCCAGCCGCCTCGGATTCCAACGGATTCTGCGACGGTCAGTCGCCGCCGCCGTGAAGATTGCGATGATAGTCGCGAGTCGCAGGGCGAGGGGCAGGGAAAAAACATGGAGAACAACCTTGCCGACCGCCCAACACAACCCACTGGCGACACGACCCCTGGGAACACCCAGCCGCCTCGGATTCCAAGGGATCCTGCGCTGGTTAGTCACCTGCACCGGGGAGATTGCGGAACGGGTCGCGAGCCGCAGGAGAAGGGGCAGGAAGAAGACAGAGAGGACCTTGCCGACCGTCCAACGCAACCCGCTGGCGACACGACCCTTGGGAACACTCAGCCGCCCTGG